TTCACTGGGAGCACTTGGAGAAAAAGATAATGACTATGTATTTGCTAGCGTTGAGTCAGCATCAGCATTTTCTGTTTTAAAATGGAGGCTTAAGATAATATCCAAGTGACTTAGGAGTCAGTCTTTTCTGTAATAGAAATGTTTTTAACTCAGGTAGCTTTTCCTCAAAATGGGGAAACGGTGCTCAGGTCTTACCTCTGTGCATCACAGGCTCTGCCATCCACCATATGGCAGGACTAGAGGACCTTAGGGTAAAGAAGGTTGGGAAACAGACAACTGCTACCAGCATGGCTTATCAAGCCTCCGCCCTTTCCAGAGATGCCTCTGGGACGAAGGCTATTGAAATGAGCTCCGGACTGGAAAACCTGTTGTGGGCTGAGGCAGCCCGCAGTCTGCAAGCTCATCAGCCTGCTTTACATTAGAGAATTGAATTTTTATAGCATAGTACCTTAAAGGGGAATACACAAATTGAAAAGAAATACACATTGCATAAAAACTGCATTCATTAGCCAGTCATCTGCATTTATGCATTTCTTAAAACTAGAAATAGTCCCTTTTTCTTCCAAGAAAGTACGGGGGGAGGGAGGAGAAGTTGTGCCATCTGTAAAGAAAAAGCTTGATTTTATGCACGCATCAGTACTGGTACTCTCATAAATCAACTGTTTATGAAATACGGTCTGAATAGCTATTCCAGAACTAAACACTGTGCCCAGGATCTGAGGTCTATCTTTCCAAGAATTAAAACACTTGTAAGAATCTTGATTTTTTTTATTTGAGTCTGGATATAGAGATTGAAAAGGTAGCATCCCCTGGAAACACAGCAGGGAAAAGCTTCAGGGACACAGCCTGACAACAGGAATCTTGTGCAAACTCACAGGAAAGGCTGCAATCTTTGTGGCTGACTGCAAGAACATCTAAGATTCAGGGTGCTTTGATGTAGTCCCATGCCAGTTGTTCTCTTGATATTTGTCAGGACAGTGGAGAATCAAAAGCCAATTTTCATCTTCATTTCATGTTGGAATTGATTACAAAAAAAAAAAAAAAGAGGAAGGGATCTGAATAGATTTGCTAGCATACGGAACGCCTCTCTCAGGAATACTGAGGTTTGAGTAATTAGGAGTGGAGAAAATTTTTATAGGTCTGTTAAGGGAATGTCCTGTAGACATGCTGGCTGTGTGGGGTTCGTCTTTCGAATGCCAGCTAGCATGGAAGGTGGAAGTGGGTACATTGAGAATAGTTACCACAGAAGGAGCACTTACCTGCACCGGTGCCCTGACCGATGGTTGGAAACCTAAAATCCTTTTTTCCCCTACAGTGTTTTTTAATGCATTTAATATAACAGGTCCTTGATCAGTCTGTTATACGAGCTCCCAGGCATGATGGCAATCCAGATAAATAATTATTAACATTATTGTTACACTTGTTTGATCTTTTAAATCCTTCAGTGATTTCAGCCTAGACTCTGATGCTGCTGTGTCTGTGCAATACATAGGCAATTACAGGCTCTGTCAGGGACTCCAAGAGGCTTAGTTTTAAACAAAATAGTGCCAATTGGAAATGATGTTTTTCTATTGTGGTATTTAAAAAAAAATTGAATTTAGGCTTAAAATAGAAATGTAAAGTGGAGAAAATTTTAGGTTCAGAAATGTGAAAGTTTTGGTTTGATGTTTTTGATCAATTTTTACTGACCCGTATGCTTAGCTTTTGTAAAAGTTGGATAGCGTTCATTGGTTCTTCTGGGTTTTGGAAGTGGAATGTCTGAAAAACAATGGTATTCAAGGCATTTTGCAAGGTAGAAAAAGCTTGTAAGACTATTCTCAGTCTAAGCAGGTCTGAAGTAATGCTTTAGTTATAGGGAAAGTAGAAGCTGGCGATGCTACTTTCAGAGAGGCTGGAATTGCTTTTGGTTTCCAAAGATGTTGGCTCTCCTTTCTCTCTAATGTTATTGCTTGTTTCTGCTTATGGCAGAGACCGTAATGGATAGAGAGAATCCCAGAAGCCCCGCTGAACTTTTTGCATAGTTGTACAACCTCAGCCTATTATCCCCCTGTGCAAATCTCAAAACTTCTGTGCATGGTGGCCCAGAAAGGGTGAGTTAACCAACCTGAGGGGAGTTAACCCAGTCTGAGGGCTTGGGAGCTTTAGCCAAAGTCAGAAAAAAGGGTTTTCCCCTTTCTCAGTGCACAGGGATGTGTTACACCCTGGCTGCTAGGGCAGCTCATGCAGTTTCACACGCTAGCTCACATCACATTCAAGTAACTGGAAACCAATAAGGTGGAAACTGGAAGTGCCAACTCATATCCGCTGAAGTGTGGGAAGTTTGCATTATCCCTGGCGTGCTGTTAAATGGCAGCTTCTCTGTGTGCTTCCTCGTTGTCATCGCACTGCCTGCGTGTATCGGCGCTGCTTTTTCTGTACGGTAGCCCTCGTGCTGGGAGCCTGTCCCTGTCTGAGTAGCAAGAGTCCAGGCTGTCGGGTGTGTGTGGCTCTGTGCCCAGAACCCCACCGCCCCAGGGTGGCAACCTGGCTGCTGGTGTCAGTGAAGTTTCTGGACAGTTTGAGCAAAAGAAGTGAGTTTTGAGTGGTGACTGGCAAAGGAGGAGGGCATGCTGTTTGCTTGAGGGATTTCAGGAATAGATTTGTGCATCACTTAGCAGCACCTGAGCTAGCTTGATTTGAAACACTTTTATATATCCCCAGGCTGCAAGTCTGACCTAACCTTTGCCCTTCCTCCCATTAAGGAGCAAGCGCTTCCAAGAGAAGTCCTTAAAAGACATAGGCGTTGCTCTCCCTCTACAGTGAAACAGCAGTTAGCTATTAATGTGAATATCACCTCTTTATCACTCCTTCTGCCTGTTCCCCCCATTCCCCCCCCCATTTATGTTTGAGCAAATAGAAAGTTTTAAATGTTTCTGAGTATGAGCAGTGTTTCTTGTCTGGCGTGCATTAATGTGACTGGCGGGAACTGGGTTTCCATAGCAAGCTTCTCTGGTGCATTGCTTCCCCACCCAGAAGCAGCTGTAAACAGCTGACGTTAATTATCATCCACCTGCTGACTGTGCCAAACAGACATGCCATTACACTGTGACAAAAAGGGCTCCTGGTCTATTAAGTCCTCCCTCATACCTTTGGTAATGCTGATAAAATGCTGACCTGTTTTTTACCCCAGTGGCTGCTGTTGCTAGGCACTGAGAAAATGACCTGTCTCCTGTAATAATCTGCATTGCACAGTTCAGATGATCTTCCAAATGGAAGTGTTTTACTGCACCTCTCAAGGCAGCTATTCTTCCCCATAGTCTTTACAGTTCTGACCATGTAATTTGTGGCAGCACCTTGTTTTTGATAGACCCTAATTAAACATTGATATTTGGGGGCTGTTTTGTTGGAAGCACATTGCGGAAGTTGATTTGTAATGATCAGCATGGCGTGCTTGGAGAATAATGATTAAGAGCAGGGAAGGTTGTAAGCTGGTAATTTACCATCACAAAGTGGAATGCCATGTGTGTAAAACTCAGGAGAAAATGAAGAGTCCATAAGTAATCGTTCTCTCCTTGGAAGAGAGAGCTTGTTGTATTGAAAGTACTAGTAAAATAGTCTTGTATCTTGTACTGGTACAAAGAAGAAAGCAGACTTAATACCCACTTACCATTTTGCTGTCGTTATGCCCAAGATTGCCTCATCCTGCACATGAAGGGGACTTCAGATGGACTTGAAGCAACGTTTGCACAGAACATCCAGTTTGCAGCGGCTGCATTGACAGGAGAGGAGAAAAGTCTATCGCAAATCCAGAAAATGGGGAATGGAAAAAAAAAAAAATTTAAGCACTGGATAAGTAACTGAGCTTTGATGCCAGGGTGTTTTATATTTCTCTCAGCAGTTGCTGCCTTTAATTTTTTTTCTCTAAAGGCAATTGTTGCACTCTGATAGAACCTTAAAGGATCATAAAGCACTTAAAAGTTGTGGTGATGTAAGCCTGTGATGAAATGGTACTGAGGAAAAAAAAAAAGACAATTCCTGTTATACTAATGGAAAAGAGGGCACAAAAAAATGTGTTGACTGCCCAAGATGCCAGGGGAAGCCTGCATTAGATTATACGATTTGTCCCTCTTGAAAGCTAGCCCAGTTCATTGCACTTGCTCCAAGGCAGGATCAGCATTATCTAAACCGTCCTTGGTGGATATTTGCATAACTTGTTGTTAAAACCCTCGGGGGATGGGAATTACTTTCAGTGATCTCTTTCATGACTTAACCATCCTTTCTGCCATCCTTACATTCAAGCTGAAATCATCATAAAGCAAATTTGCACAGCTATCTTTAAAACAAGATCTGAAAAAAGATAAATGCAGTTTAGATAATGGCACTGTACCTAGGGGTTTCTGGCTACTTCACTGAATGTGGACAGATATTGTAAATAAAATGTGCCATAAAATGAGGAAGGATGGAGAAAATAAAACAGAATGTAATCAGACATGAGATTTTTAAATGCCTTAATTTGTAGAACTATGTTTTTTCATTCAGGTAGTCCAGTCCTTCAGTGTTGAGTATTTTGGATTTTTTAAAATCTGTCATGTAAGATCTCACAGTACTGGTCTGGTCTGTCCAGCTTGGACACTAAAGGTGGTGTGGCACTTTTGGAAAGAGCAGAGTGGTTTCCATGGAGTCCTATCCTGAGCCTCAACGTGTTTGTCTTCCATGCTGGGTACCAGATGTGTCCCTGTCTACTAGCCTTGCATGTTCGACAGTGCTGCATAATTCACATTTATATATGAAGTCAAATCTTGTGCTGCCTAGTCAGGCGGACAGCCTATTTACACCACTGGGAGTCTGCATAAGCAAGGAGGGCAGGATTTGACCCATATTTGATAAGGCAGTTTGGATCCTTTCATGTCTAGTTAAATGTACATACAATATGTTGTATCATTAGTAACTTCTTTGCCAAGGGAATATATTTTTGTACTGTGCTGTAATTTCTAATGGGATTTTTCCTTTTTTTCTTGTAGTCTGACACAAATGCAAGTTACTTGAGAGCTGCTCGAGCTGGCAACTTGGAAAAGGCTCTCGACTACTTAAAAAGTGGAGTGGACATCAACATTTCAAATCAGGTTGAAGAATATTTTGATCAAATTTGCTGGATAAATACCTTTCTCACTATTTCTCAAATCTGTCTTTATATTTGCACTTCATGTCAGTGATAACTTACGTGGTTTTTGATGAGCCATATTTACATATTTTATCCAATTAAAACTTTTATTTTTACCCCTTACCAAGACATCATGTCACTTCCAATTGCAGAATGTTGTGCTATTTAACATTATCTTTCATTCCATTTGTGTTACATCAGATCATGGTGTTGTCCGAAAAGCGGATTCGTGCCCGGCGTGCAAGTAACCAATTCCACACGCTCAGGAGAGATATTGTTTTATTCAGGCCTGGGTGCTCGGTGGACTTGCCACAAATCAAGCACACCTGGTCTAATCACCTTTCTGTTTATATCCATGCTTCTCATACATATTTTAAATTTCTCTTTTACATATTCATTAAGTTTCCAGGAACTAATTATAATATTACATCATCCTAGACACATGCGCACTAAAGCCTTTAGGGTCTTCTTGAGGGTCTCGGGTGGTCTCTGGTGGTCAGCAGGGTAGTGAACTTTCTGTGAACTTGTCCTTCCTTCTCCTTATAAGGTTGCAACTTGTCCCCGAGCCATACTTGGATCGCTTTTATTTATGGTTTCCATAGTCGAAGTTAATTATCACTAGAATCTAACAATGCTTCTAGGATACACAGTTTATACTAGTTACAATTCCACACACTTACAAACACAACACCTGTTAGTTACCTAATTTCTAAGCAACAAATCTTCATTGTTTAGAATTAAAGAAGCGAGCAGTATGGAATAAGAGGTACTGTAACAGACTATACCTACTGCATCAATGGGACAGCACACAGAACTTGAGACCCCAGAGCTAGTATATCCTGACTTAATTCATACTCTTTCCTTATAATCTAGTTCTTGTAAAGTTTACATAAGAATAATTTTTGGAAGCAGTCCTCTCACTGGGATATAATAATTTGTCTCCTGATATGTTGTTTGCTATCTGGAAAACCTTTGCCAATCTTTTCTATTGCTTTTCTTTTTTTCCTTCTTTTTTTTAATCAGAATGGGTTGAATGCTCTCCATCTCGCTTCCAAAGAAGGGCACGTAGAAGTTGTCTCTGAACTGATACAGCGAGGTGCCAGCGTGGATGCAGCAACAAAGGTTAGTCAGGCCTATCTAATTGTTCCCTCGTTCACACCAACGGCATGGGCACAAGGTGTCAGCCAACTGATAACAGATAATGCAGCAGTAATGGCCCACTTTCCACTGGTGGAGTGGTCTCAACGATTGTTTAACAGAAACCTTTTATATTATAGTAAATGTCAGAGGTTACTAGTGATAAGATTTACTGAACAAATTCTGGATTCCTGTCTTGCTTTCTGTCCACGTCTTCTGGAATAACTTACCCATTAGCAGTATTCAGTAAGAGTATTTTATTGCAAGAAATACTATATTTTAAAGTGGAATGTGTTCTTGACAGTATTGCCATGTATTCAAGCTCAAGCTTTGTACTCTTTTCAGATATCACTGTTTCTCTTTTCAGAAAGGAAACACAGCATTGCACATAGCATCCCTTGCTGGACAAGCAGAAGTAGTCAAAGTGTTGGTTACAAATCGGGCCAATGTCAACGCACAGTCTCAGGTAAAGTAATATTTCTCTGTTTGGTACTATCAAAAACTGCTGACATTAAAATTGTTTTCCCCTTATAAACCATAATATTAGTAAGTATATTTGGTAGATCTCATTGTATTAATGCTGGCTCTTGAAAATAGGGTTTGATAGAGTCAGTAAGATGAACGTAATCCTGCTAACACAAAAAACCCATTATTTTTTCGCTGTTCCACACACGTAGGTAACCAACAACAGATGAAAGGACAAAGTTTAAACACACAGCTGCCATTTCATTACTGAAGCAGGCATTTTAGTGAATGTAGTGCTGAGTTCATTCCTACCTTGTAACTCAACATACAATTAAACCTTTAAATGTTTCCAGCTCTCCCCCTTCTGCTCTACCCCTCGGCAGGTGGTCAGAGTGTACCAAGGGGCATCATGGATATATTAAGTCTTGTCTTCCCCCATAGGCATGACAGCACAGTGAAATCCCAGGTTGTGTTCAGGTCTTTTCCCACAGGGGATGTCAACCATCAGTTGGGATTAACTCTGAGTTGTCCATCTCATTCACCAACAGAGAAAGAATAGAAATAACATCTCTGTTTTAAGTCGTCCAGAAGCCACACAGACGCACACCCCTGGAGATGAAGAAAGTGGAGGCACATCCAGGGGTGTTTGCAGGATACTGGAAATGGTTGTGTAACAAGCAGTACAGCAAAGCATTTACCCTTCAGCCTTAGATCTGCCCTCCAATGTCCTATGAGCTGCTAATTGTTACAGAGTCAGAAGAGATACTGATAGAACAGGAGGGTGGGAGAGAACTTCTTCAAATGAAAGGGATCCTGTTTCACATAATTCAATGTCTCGGGCTTAATTGAGCTTATCCCCTTTCCTTGTACAAGGAGGTACCGCAAGCATATGCAGAGTTTTTAAATTTAGTGAAGTCCTTTGAATGGATATTTAGGTCAATTATAGAAAATTTGAAATAAGGGAAAACAGTGCTGGTGTTAAAAGCAAAGCAGCAAAATGAAACAGAGAAAAACTCTGCCTCAAAAAATGTATAAACCACAGGTTTTTGAAAGCCGGGTGGCTGTGCCATGGGAAGTGTCCCTGCATGCCTGCCCCATTCCTGTTCTCCCTGCTTATTATAAAGATGTAGGCATGATAGAAAATGTTTGTTAAAAACATTTTGTTTGTTAATGTTTGTTAGAAAGAAAGATTAAAAGATGTACATTTTAAAGAAACATGGTTTTCTTTAATGGTATCTCAAATAATATGAACAAAATGTTTAATAGAACCTATTTCAAGAATGTTAGTTATTTGTGATCTATATTTCATGTTTCTTTCACCTGGACAAAGAAAATAGGCTACTCAGTTCTCCTTTCTTACTCTTTTATACTAGCTAGATACAGCAATATTTGGTTCCAGGCACCTTATAATTTGAATTTAAAGAGAACAACAACAGAAAGTAGTTTTAAGTAGTATCTTCCATGACCGTTAAGAAGTAAAAAAAAGCAGAAATATTTCTGGTGGTTTTCCTGTTAAAGAAATTAAGATGGCTTTGAAAGGATCTTTTCTGCTTGTGTTTGAGAACTTGTGTATTCAGCCCTGAAACTAAAAATAATCTGAGATTGTAAACATCTTATATAACTGCATTGTCCATGCACCCTAAGGTTTTGCCACATGTTACCCTTATTTTGCTAACATATGAGAATTAAAGATTTATTCCTCCTCCTCCTCTCTCCCCTTCCCCCCCTCCATTATGGATGCCTTTGATGTCTTTGCTAAAGAGACATGTATATTGGCCATTCCACACCAAGCTTTGTCCGTGGCACTGAGCATCACTTGAGCCTTCCTATAGCTTAGAATAAAGTTCTGCTGAATTTGGCATACGCACAGAGAGACCACCCAAAGATTTTTTTGTTTTGTTTTTCTTTTTGATGCTGACCCTGTTTTCTGTGAATTTGACTTTATCTCTTCTTCCCTTGAAGGTAATAGCTCTACCCTGCTGGCGGTGCCAGTGTTAGCAATGTAAGGCCTTCTTTAACCAAATCTTCCTGTCCTTAAAAAAAAAAAGGGACTTTTTACTGAGTCTGAATTTTGTACCTCTTCCAAGGGCTATTTATTACTATTGAAGACAAAATACTTTCTTTAGGCTTGTGGCTCTCTGGCAATTTCAGCGCCTTTTTAAAGAGAAGAAAAAGCAAAGTATGGGGGGAAGGATGTTGAATACCCTCCAATAATTTAACATAGGAGAAAAGCTTCTGCTCTGCCTCCAAATGCTAATAATACTTGGTTCTGAGAATTTTTGCCTATTAATTATTTTCTGAAACTAATAATTAGGAAGTGTTTCCTGCTTCCTTTCTAAATGCAAATGTTTGAAACTAAAAAAATTAATCTTTGTTTCCAGCTGAGTTAGTAAATAGATATTGAGTATGCCATGAAATGATAAGGAAAAATGCCAGACTCTGCTGTTCACTATAATAATAACCTGTAATGTGACATATTAGGTACCTTAGCGAGTGCTTTCTGGCTTCTTTGTTTTTCATTAAGCAGAATTCTAACTGTATGGTAACTAAACCGTTAGGCCTTAGTTCTGGAGAGTGCATTAACACATTGCTAACTTTAGGCTTTGGCTCCGGCAGGACTTCAGTGCCTGCTTTATGCTTGTAGTGATGCTTTCCCGAATAGAGACCAAATTATCAAAATACTGGAACAGCAACAGACCTCGCAGCCTGTGCAAGCCTTGTAAACATGTGGCTTCACAGCTGCTCAGTGTCTTGTTGATGGTAAAGTTCCTCTTGGATCAAACATCCAGTTAACGCCATTTCCTTTCCAACTGTCCTTTCTTCTGACCTCCTATTTGTCTCTGCTGCCAGTGAACCTTGCATGCTCGGCCTCAGGTCACCTGCACTCTCCTGCGTGCTCTGTGTTGGACGTGTGCCATGCAACTCTGCTCCATTGCTGTGACAGTCAGATGTCTCTCAGCTGTTTTCACCGTAGCTACTATAACTCAGCTGAAATTCACTGCTATAGGTCTTAGGCTACAGTTTCACTTCATCTCTCCAGAGCCCATGTTAATGTTTTTTCTTTGATGCAAATATACGGCCAAACTCTTCCCAGCTTATCTCTGGCTCCATTGGTTTCCTGCAAAATCTCGGTCAGTGTTCTTTGTCACTGTTCTAGCCAAATTGCTGAGCTGCTCTCCCTGCGTCTTCCGCCCTGCCGAAATGTCTGCCCTGGCCACATTGCAGACGTGAGAGTGCTGATACTCTCAGCCAAACCCAGTCATATGGAAGCACTTCCTTAACTTTTCTGTTATTTAAGCCGGATGAAATCTCTTTTCTGTTTTACCTGTTATTTTTAACTAGCCCTTACCTCCTATTTTATTTTTTATTTCCTTTCTTCCTTGTTGTCTCCATGCTCTGGAGTAATCACCAGAAGTGCTGTGTGGTAGAGCGAGAGGTCTGGGGGGATCTTAGCAGGAAGCAGTTGAAGAGGGAAGCTGCTGCCCCCATTGCAGCTGATTCTGTGTGAAGTTTACTTAAGAGAAGCCTGAGGTTCATAGAAATCCCAATGACATGAGATCTGGAAGATAGTAAGAAGAAAGACAGGGCCCTAACAAAGCCCACTAAAACCTCAGTGACCTCCTGGCCAAAATGTTTAATGGTATCATCACTCATGCTGGTACCATAAGGAAAGGGATCAGGGAAAATCTAGCAGTGATGAGTGTGACAAAAGAGTAATGCTGGAGTATGAAGGGTAAAAACATGTATCATGATAGATCAGAGGAGAAAGGGATTGTTGTTCTTATTGCTGATGCTGCTTTGGTTGCTTCAGCAGTATCAAACTGCTCAGTTAATAGTATATGGATGTTTTAAGTTGTTACTATAAAATGTATTTACCAGTAGTTCACAATTCTGTTGGACTGAGGGATATGCAGTGCCATATGAAAGCCAAGCAATTTCAGGTGCAAATCAGCAACATCTATAAATTCATTTAGCGGTATCTTGAACCCAGGACAGGTTTCATGACTTCATTTTGCTGTTTTGGTTTTGTGAGTCACGTCAAAGCTGTGAATTTCAGCAATGCATAGAACAATAGGGAAAAATACATTGTCTTAATGTTAGTACCCAAAAATTCAATTCCTGAAATGCTGTGACCTGTATAGAGTTAAGGCAAAGACAAAAGCATTGACTGTAAGAGGAAAGCACTAGCCAAAGAATGAGTTAAGCTCTGCAGCCTCTAATACTTGTATTGCATTGATTGAAATCACTCACTTAAGCATAATTTGAGAAATGTTCTAATGTGGTCGGAAACACTGACAAACCTCTGTCTCAAACTACTGAGAACCAACAATCCTGAGATCTCCTGGTGCCTGAAATATGAAGTAGCTCAGTGACCACAAGCAGGCTATGCTCAGAAAGCAGCTCTTTGAGGAGACAAAAGGCGTAAGTAGCCAGCACAAGTGAAAGAGAAGTCAAAGCTAATGGAGAGAAGAGAAAAAATTGGGAAGTATTCTGAAAAGCCATTGCCCTTGCTTTTGCTACAGACTTGTATTGTATTTGCCTGTCCCATTTTCCATTTCCATTGCTATGGCTGCATTTATTGGGAATCATAACTCATCTCTACCAAATGGTCTGTCCAGATTAGTTTTTAGTTTGACTTCATAACACATGTAAAAGGAAGTATTCTCGCTTAGCTATGGGAACTGTATCTGGTCAGCTGAAAGATTCCGCTGTGTCCTTCTAAATAATATTACCCTTCTCATATCTTCATTTAAATCAGAGGAGATCATGCCATTAACTGGCATGTAAGCACACAGTTTATTTGGTTTCCTCCTAATCTACCTAAGTTTTGCAGATCTGTGGTATGTATAAAATGTTTGTGGAGTGTTTACACTCTTGTTTTCCTATTTCAGAATGGTTTCACTCCACTGTATATGGCAGCCCAAGAAAACCACCTGGAGGTTGTTAAGTTTCTTCTTGACAATGGTGCCAGTCAAAGCCTTGCCACAGAGGTAAAAGTTTGAATTTCACACTTGATGAATGAAGTAAAATGTGCTTTAGCAGTGATTCTTGCCAGCTTATATCAAACTAGTCTTTTAGATACAAAATTAAAGACCACTAAAAAGTTCTCTTTGCGAAGTGTGCTAATGAATACAGATTGGCTTTTCAGCAATTTAAACCATCTCTTGCCATTTCTAAAATAAAAAATGACTTTAACTAGAAACAGTTCTAAAAATAGATGTGTTCTTAGTCATAACTGGTAATCTTTCAGGTTAAGTGCTCAAACAGGGAAGCTGTGTGCATAATATAAAAGTTCTCTGTGCTTTCATTAAAAATACTGAGTAATGCGGAGGGCAACCATAAAGCAAGAACAACTGTTTACCTATGCTTTGGAGCCAGCCCTGGGATATCAGGGAAAACCCAGGCTTACTTAGTGCTTGGAGTATTTTCTGAACTGCATTTATTGCCATGTTGATACACTCTCTGTAGCACCTAGTTACCACATCTGATTTTGCAGTGATAATTTCAAGCATGAAGATGCCAGGTCCATCCTTGAAGGTGTTCTGTGATCTTTCTAGAAGAACACTTTTTTCATGCTTTAAAAAGTATTTCTAACTCAAATAAGGCAACCTGGAAGGAAAAAGAATAGCAGACATATTAATAGTCTTGAATGTACTGCATTGAGATAAGTTTTTAATCTGATGAATTTTTAGTTGTCTTAATTGCAAGATTTTGCTACCCAAAAAAAAAAAAAAGGTATTTCAGTATGTGCTCTCTCTAATATTTATTAAATTCTGATTGCTCTATCTCAACTGATTCCATGAAGGAAATAATGCTTATTTGAAAAAGTCCTACTTTTTGCAAAATATGAAATGAAAAATCAGTTTATTGCATCATTATACCTTACAGTATCACTGTATAATGATGTATGTATGGAACCTTCTCTTCTGAAGTCAGCACTGTAAAAAATGAATCACTAATGGATCAAAATTGTGTTTTCAGAATCACTAAAAATTAGTTATAACTAGAGATGTGCATCAGAAACTACTTTCTGGAAATGCTTAAATATATGAAAGCCAAGATATACCAAAATGAAGTATTTTAAATCTGGAAAATTAATTGAAAAATTGTAGTTTTCAGAACACTAATTTCTATTTCTTTGTAAAAACTTGGAAACAAAGAAGTCATGGGACCCCCAGAGATGTACAATAGATTTAGACTTCTGAAAATATTCTTGCCACTGTATGATTTTCTGAAAATAGAAATTTTTTAAATTGTACACGGGTACTTGGTTCTTTTTCTTCAGTATTGTTTTTCCCTTGAGCACTGTATGTCAGTTTAGGTTGAGCTTTTCTCCAACTCAGCTTGATGATAAGGTGCAATCTAATTTTATCCATGGAGAATTCCTTTGAAGATACCAGACTACAAAACAATGTTGTCTTTATTGCCTTACTTGTTTGTGATAGTTGTTTATGGGTGCTTTTTTATTTTCTCTTAGTCCAAGTTTTCATATAAATCTGATTTATCTTTATCTTTGTAAGTGCAAAAGACACTGTTATTAAACGATTGCCACTTAGCTAAATATTCATTAAAAATAAAACTCTTTAACAAAAGTGTTTTAATCTAAATAAAAAAATAGAACCAACTATTTACTTTAAATTGGTTTTAGTTTTTTGGGGTTTTGTTTTGTTGTATCTGAGTGGGTTTTGCCTTATGTTTTAAAGTGCAGTTGCTAATTATAGTGCTGACATCATGATGCTTGCAGTTGCTTTTTGTGGGTAGGCATCTTCAGAGAGCATGTGGTGGAAACGTGTTCTTGTCGGTGCTAATAATCTTGGTCGCAGTTTGCTTGGCCGTGGTACAGTGATCTCTGCACACACTGAAATGATGGGCAACTATTGTCAGAGTTAGGAAACTGGAGGTATAGGGGATGGCAGCTGTTCTGCGTTTGAAATGAAGTGCTCCCTCCCATTTTGTCCACTCCCTTTTCCCTAAGGAAAGGAGAAAATGTGTCCCTAGGATTTTTTTTTATATTATTTTACCAGCATTTTTAGCAGAAGAGAAAGCCCAATGAGAAAAGACATTGTAGAGAGCTAAACCACTTTTCTTTGTGAAGTGGCTGACTGTGCCACTGCTGTTGACTGTATAAATAGACCAGGAAGCAAATGTCTCCAAGTCACTAAGGCGTGAGCTGTCACAGGAGCCTCCGCTTCTGCAGGTACACCGTAGCTATATTGCCAGAGCCCTCTTGTGGGGATGCTCATGGAGTTTTTTGGCCTTCAGAGCTACACAGTATTTTTCACACCCTGTGCTGCTGTGTGCCTGCAGTCTGAGGCTGCGCAGTTGTTTCACCCCAGGAGCCGCTCACGGACCAGGACCACAACCCAGAGCCCTGCCCTGCTGCTGGAAGATGGTGAGCCGGAGGCAAAGGAGAAGGCTGTACTTAAATGAGTTTAAAACAATTCATGAAAAAAAAAAAAAGCTTGTTAAAGCCCAAGGAATTTCAGTGATTTTTCTTTTTTTTTTCCCCCTCCGAAATTTTGAAAAAATGCTCCTTTTCAGCACTCCTCCTGTTTCTCCTCCTAAATTGAGGCGCTCTTTGTTTGGTAAGCCAGAGAGATAAATTTCTTATTGAAAACATTACTTTTAGTTCCAAAAGTTAAAAGTTAACACTTGAACTCTGCATTTTTGACATAGTATGAGGATCTACATGCTTCTGTGTCCTTGCTGCACTTTTATTTCACATTTACACAGTTTCACCACGACAGAAGTAGTAGAAAAGTGAAAGAAGGCGTTTACCTACTAAACTGTAATGAAGTTTGGCAATATAAGCTTTGGGTGTATTGATTGAGTGTCAAATGTAATACATAAATATCCCGAGCACAGTAATTTGCACAGTGATTTATGGGCATTATCTTGGGCAAAGCTGAATGTGTTCCTGGATTGGAATGCCACTTAAATAGGAAGGAGCGGAATCTAAATGGCAATTCTTTCATTCTTCAGTTTTCTGAGAATCCATAAAAATAAAATTATAAAAACATCTCAGACTGTACTTTTCATGTGTTTGGGGAATCCACTCCAAAATCTGTTAAAAGTCTTGTGTTTTTCAGATTTCTTATTCTGCACTGCTTTGGTTGGCTATTTGCTAGTCTGAAAGGACATAATTCCTGTTTGTAAGAGAATTGTCCACCACATCTATATAAATTTTCCTGAATGGAAGTTGTAGTAAAATAATTGGTATATTGAGAGTATGTGGTATTCCTATTCAAATATTATTATATATTAAATCCACATATAAAATATATCAGAGGATAGAACTGAAGTGTTGGGTGTTTTTTTCTTAAAAAATGTAGATTATAACCTGTAGCTGTGGGGGGAATGGATGATAATTTACTATTTTTGTTTGCGTGTGTCTTATAAATTTACGTTTAAGTCTGGAGTGCCAGAAAGGTGTTTTGAGCATTTGGGACTTAGTTCGCCAAAACTTTACTCCAATTTCAGTGTCATTGCAGGGTACTTTTAATTTGCACCATGTTACACTTTATGTTTGAATTTGAGCCAGTACTGCTACCAATGCTGAGATCTCTTCCCTTCCCCTTTCCACCCCCTGGAAAGCTTGGAACATGTCTTGAGAGTCCCCATTGTATGTTGCAGGATGGTTTTACGCCTTTGGCCGTGGCTTTGCAGCAAGGTCATGACCAGGTGGTTTCACTGCTGCTTGAAAATGATACGAAGGGAAAAGTCCGTCTTCCTGCCCTTCACATCGCTGCTCGCAAGGATGATACGAAGGCAGCGGCTCTGCTCCTGCAGAACGACCACAATGCTGATGTGGAGTCAAAGGTCAGTTGTAAAAAGAAAAAAGGTTTGATGCTATTAAGTGCTGACCACATGTATTACATCCAGTGAAGATCTCCCTTAGTGTGAAGTATTTTGCTGCAGCGTTACACATAACTTTCTCCTATAGTGTGTGATTAAGAATAACGTTTCATTTGCTTCCTTTGCCTCTTTCTCCCCCATTTCCTTTTTGTTTAAATCAGGGTTAATTTCTCCTGTAGAAACTTTGCAAATGGAAAATGATAAGCAAAATATTATTAGAATTATTCTCCTGGGAATGAAAGCCACTCCTGCAGTGGTGTTGTACACCACTATAGGTATTGTACAATTAAGTCATTTGATTAGTTGTTTGTGCAATTGCTACTTTAAGAACTTTGGTAAACATGTAACAATTAACATTAAAAATACTCGATCATTCAGCTTCCATTCAGTTGAGCTTCCTTTGTGTGCCGATTGTGCTGTCATCTGAGCTGCCATGCCACGTAGCAATCATGAAGCTTTTTGCATCCATATCACCAGTGGTGAACTAACCGTTCATTTTTTCCCCCTCTTTGCTTCCAAATGTGTTAACCTAGATGATGGTGAATAGAACAACAGAGGTATATATAAATATATATATGCATCATCACTCCTCCATGACTTAGTGCTGCTGCATCATTTCTTCCTCTTCCTTTTTGCATCGCCTTTTATAGGATAGATACCTGCTTTAGATGAAATGAAGTAGCATGTGCTAGAGAAGACTGTAGTTTAGATACCAGGGCTTTCTGCAGCTGAAACTAGGGTTTAAAAGTAAGAGTAAGCATTCTTGGGAACTAACTGCCATCATAAAAGATCCGTATTATGTAAGACGGAGTTTTCAGGGATTCTCATGGAGTATATGTTTATCAGATGTGTTAAGAGCTGCAGACAACCCTGTCATGTTGTGCATCCAGGTCTGGTTTTAGGCTTCTGCATGACACTTACCTTGATGGTGTCAGCAAATAGAATGATCTGAGAGTGGTTTTATATCTGCAAAACTCCCAAAGCAAGGCAGTGGCAGCTAGCATGGCTTGCTAACAATTTAGAAATGCATCTAGTTCCCATAAGGTTTCATACTTTGCAGGACTGATGGAATTGCTGCATGTTTTAGCATTATTTTAAAAGGAAGTAAAACTACTTAAATATGAAAATAAGTTGCTGAAGTAATTTTATCAGTAAGGCATCTTTTAATTAGGGTGGTAACTTGTGGTGTCTGAACATAACCCAGTGTGATTGCCCACAGTGGGAGACTGATCTTTATGGTACTAACCCTTGGAAAAAAAAAAAATCCATATTAATAGTTTAAAATCGTCTTTGATGTTGTTTTCATTTGCATCTACTTTGAATTTATAAAAAACAGTTAGCAAGTATCATTAAATGACTTGTATCTGAACTTCTGCAGAGAATCTCTAAGAGATTTAACTTGCAAGACTGACATAATACCGACAACAACTAGATATTTCTAGTTAGAAATTAATTTCTTATGAAAGACAGATCATTGCTTTACTACTCAAATGTTTTGTTGTTGTTTTTCTGGAATAACTGAAAATTTTATGCTACTTCTGGTCTTCTAGAATAATTATGTTAATTTTTTTCCCTCCTGCATAGCAATATGATTTTATTTAGGCTCTCTGAGAGTCTATAAATAAACATCAGTGAGTGAAAACTAGTACAGAATTGGAATGGTGACTTGCAGCAGACTCCTATTACTAGCTTTTGTCAGTGATGTGATACAAATTTTGGAGTACCAATGAGATATAAAAAAATAAGTATCTATTGGTTTTGTTTTGTTTTGTTTTTCCAGAGTGGGTTCACTCCCCTCCACATAGCTGCTCACTATGGAAATATCAACGTAGCTACATTGCTGTTAAATCGGGGTGCTGCTGTGGACTTCACTGCAAGGGTAAGTGTGAAATCTGAGTTATGCTTAATTTGCTTAATCATCATTTTGAAACACTTTTTCCACAAAGGTGTGGAAAGGTACATTGCTCTTGCCAGCCAAGGGGCCTGGCCTGACTGCTCTTGTTCTGTTACTGTACGGTGTAAAGGGGTTTTCCCTGGGCTGCTGAAGTGAACCTGAGCTCTAGTCCTCAACCTTTGAAAACTTCTGTTTTAATCAAAAAGAGCTGCTATTTTCATAGTTCTAGTGTTGCAAAAGGTAGGCTGGGATTCAGTGAGATGAGTGCTTCCATCTGTAGCTTTAACATATGGCAGGAGCACTGTCCCTGTTGAATTGTCCTCCATATGCAGTTGTTTCCAGTGAACATGAAGCGTGCAGGTGTACTGGTGAATAAAGCGGCTGTGCCTTCACTGCATATGTGAGAGTCAGATGATACATAAAGGAGAACTGAGAAACTGGAGAGGTAGCAAATGAAATGAGGTATAGAAATGGAGGGGAGCTACATGGCAGAAGCCATGGTAGAGTGGGGGAACTAACCCTCCTGATCCTATAAGTTGTGCACCGAAGTCACGACACAGCCCAGGCAGTGACAGGGTAGTTCCTGTCAGATGTATGAAAAAGGATTGGGAGCCAGGAGGGAAATGGTATTTTGGAATGGACACCAGGGCTTTCCTGGTGTCCCCTTGGTTCACTCTGGGCTGAGTGGGGAGCAGCTGACCGGTGGCTTCAGCTGTGCCTTCTTGCTTGGGGAGTGGGTCCATCCTCCCACAGACAGCTGGACTGCTCTGCGAGCCTGGTGCTAGCAAGGCCTCATCTCATAACCCAGGCCAAAGTTTGACCATATCTGCTGTCAAGGGTCGGGTCTGTCAGAAGACCAAAGAGTATTATAATATTAGAGTGAAGGAGTGTGGTCAGGGTAGGGAGGATGTGGGAACAACAAAATGTAAGGAGAAGTGTAAAGGACAGAAAATGACAGAGGGAAGTTATATAGTTGGGAGTGCAGGAAAATAAAGAAATGTATATGGACAGGAATACAGCAATATGAAGTGCAAGGAAAGAGATTGTGCAAGGCATGAGACCAGAGACAAAAGAAAGGCAAATGCAGAGGTAACACAAAGTTTAATGAGCTAGGATGGAGGGCTAGAGAATGGTAGGGTAGAGAGGACATGGGCAGAAAGCTGAGTAGGTGCCATGGGAGTATGCAAGACTTTAAGAAGGGAAAAGCAGGGAGAGTGATTAGGGACATACAGATAAATAGAAAAGGGGCTAACATTCAAAATAGGTTAGTATTGGAAAATGCTGGAGCTACAACTTCCTACTGAAGTTCTTAAAAATTTGTTTGCTCATTAGCTTCTTCAGTAATGGCTTGGGCTGTATGAATAAGAGGATGCCTATGGAATTTCGGCTGACACACAGCCATGAATGGTTATCAGTACAGAAAGAGTGCAACAGAACATGGAAATGTGTTGAAATTCATAGTGGAAAACAGATCAAACTCTTGGCTAAAGAATACACTTATTTTTCCTGTTGGTTTCTCCAACAATCTACCAACGAAGAAAGAGGAGGACCTGTGTATATTAGTTGTTCACTGGGTGTTGTGTGTGATACGGTTTAAAAAAAAAAAAAGCCCAAAAAAGTAAATGTGATTTCGGGTTATTCCAAGGTATTTCTGATACAGGGGGAGAAAAAAAAACAATGAAAAAAAACCCTGAAAAACAACCCCCACAAACAAAAACCCACATCACCCCCCGCCCCCCACAACCCCCACAACAAAAAACCCAAACCAAAAAACAACCAACCAAAAAAAACTCCCAACCAAAAAAACCACCAAAACAAAAACACCAAAATGAAACAAAACAAACTGAGGCTCACCAAACCTTACCAAAACAAAGCCAGGGATGTGGTAGTGGTCCCTAGGACAATAGGGAGAGAAACTTGAGGGAGCAAGAGGCATTCAAATTGAAGGCAAATGCTGACATAAGAGTAAATAGGTATAAATTGGCCATGAATAAATGCTGTCTAGAAATCTAGATATTTAATGTTACGTATTAATAATTAATATTATTCAATTAATAATTGTTTAATAATTGGTGTTATTGTTATTAATTGTTTAATAACGGTGGTGATCAGTTTTGGGGCCGGTCCTGTTCAA